GCCGTCCCGGGGGTGTGGCCAACGCAGAAGGGAGGAATCGGCGGTGCCGAGCCTCGCTTTTCCCAGACGCGGGGGGAGACCGTTGAACTTTTCCTGCGGAAATGCCGGGAAGTCGTCTCTAGTCCGCGGTGCCAGTGGCCGGCTCTCCACCCACTGTTGTTGGGTGGCTAGTTCTTCCGCGCCTACTTTCAGATAAGGGGGGCCTGGGGCGTCTGTGGGACGGGTGGCGGGGCTGGGGGTCCTAGGTGAGACTGAGATGGACAAAGGGCTTGCGGAGGCTCTGGAAGAAGGGCTGCTTGCGCTGCGGGGGCTCCTGCCTTCTCCCGGCGGCCTTGGCCAGAGCGCTATCTCCGCTGTGCGCCCCTCCCCGCTGCCCCACGCTGGCCCTCCTGCAGGCTGCTCTGGGGGTGCCTAGGGCTGGAGGGCCCCGCGCTCTGCCCCACAGGACTGGGGAGGCAATGAGGTCAAGAACTTTTCAGTCTCTAGCCGCCACCAACACCCCCCCTCCACCATGATTTTCTCATAGAAATGGAATTGGCTGAGGTGGGGGGGGGCGGTGCACAGCTTTGCCCTGACTTGGCACTCCCTGGGACCGGGGTGACGCTGCTAAGTTTGGCGCTCAGGAAGGAGCCTTAGCCCTTAAAATACCCTTCCATTCTGCCTTCCCAGCTGGAGGCCTGACAAAAGGCCGGGACTGGGGGCGGGGTGGGGTCCCAAGGGATTCTGGACCTGAAATCCCGAAGGAGGTTCTTATGAGGATGAGGGTCTCACCTTCAGGCGTTTCCTGAAACTGGGGAGCGCCTGCCAGCGGGCAGTGGTGGGGCCTGGCCAGGTGTGCGCACTTTTCGCTTTCCTTTTTCCTGCCGCATTCTTTGCGCTTTCCTGGGGCGGGCAGCGTGGGCTTGGGAGAGCCGCGGACTTGTAGGGGGAGGAACTGGACCAAGTTGGGACAGGAACGCTGTCCATTCCGAAGTCTCTGGGCTGTGTCTCCGCCTCCCAGGCAGGGGAGGGATTTAACCTGCTATTTAAAGCCAGTGACTAATAGCTCCCGGGGAGCGCCTTAAGCTCCCAAGGCCCTGGCTCACCAGTGGTCCCGGAGGTCAGGAGCCCCAGTGGCACAGTGGTGATGCATTGCACTGCTCACGGCAAGGTCAGCACTGGGGCTCTCTACCCCTGTGAAGAGTGACCGGCTCGGAAACTCACAGGGGCAGGTCTACCCCGTCCCACAGCATCAACTGGTGGCAGTGAGCTTGGTATGAGATTGCCCCCGGAGCTCTGGGCCTTGAGCTCCCTGGGGCTTTGGGATTTCAGGAGAGCCTGCCAGCCTGGAGGAGCCCTGGTGGCATCCTAGGTTATGTATTGGGCTGCTCACTGAAAGGTCAGTAGTTCAAACCCACCAGCCACTCTTTGAGAACAGTGAGCCTTGGAAACCCAAAGAGGCAGTTCTACCCTTGATGGCTTTGCGTTCAACAGCCTTGGGTGGAGTGAACTTGGGGGCAAGGAGAGAAGGTTGTTTATACAGCTAGAACAGTGGTTCTCAACCTGTGGGTCGGGACCCCTATGGGGTCGAATGACCCTTTCACGGGGGTCGCCCGATTCATAACAGTAGCACAATTACAGTTATGAAGTTGCAACAAAAATAATTTTTTGGTTGGGGGGTCACCACCACAAGAGGAACTGTATTAAAGGGTTGTGGCATGACGAAGGTTGAGAACCACTGAGCTAGAGGATCCTGAGGGCCACAGAGTCAGGGGCTGGGGACAGCCTGGGGTGAGGGGAAGCCCAGCCTCTGAGGGTCCCACTTTTTGAGTGTCGGAATGGGTGCCTCCTTGGCCGTCCTTCATGCACTCCTGTTCTCCATCATGGCGAAAGGGGCACCTCTGTCACCGGGTCGCCAACCAGTCCCCTCCACCTCTTCAGTCCTTGCTGGTCTTGTCTTTCAAATCCGCCTGCCTCCTTATCCCCTCTGCCCCCACCTCCCCTCTCACCCGCCTGAGAGGCAATAGCATCCTGAGTGCTCTTCTGGCCCCTCCCATCACACTCTCCAATCTGATTCCCAGTCAGCAGCCCGAAGGGTCTGGCTGCAGCACCCCCGGGGAGCCCGTCAGCATCTCTGCAGATAGGCTATGTTAACATTCGAGAATGAGAAGAAGCTTCTTGCTCTTTCGTCCTCCTTTTCTGTTCTTTGTGGGTCATGGTGGTGCTTGAAGGAAGGTGGAGAACCACTGGTCCGTAGGCTGGGATGTTGTCTGTCCCCAGCCTGCATTTCCAGCTGTGCCTCACACTTCAGCACACTGTGGTCCTCCATAGTCTCCACGTTCTGGACTCCTCCCCCTGCCTGGCACACTCCTCCTCCCCCTGCTAGACCCAGTGCAAGGCCCCCTCCTGTGCCAGAACCTTCTCTCCCAGGCAGAGACCCCCTTTCACTTGCTCCGTGCACAGGCTGTTTTCGCTAAGGCACATTCTTTTCTTGACATGTTGATCCGTGTAATCGGTCCCCGCTCGAGAGACCTTGATAGTGCCCACTTTTTGTTCCATTCCCGCCCCCCCCTCCCGCAATGTTTATGGAATGAGCGACTTGCTAAGTCAGGGCTGCCTTTGCAGGTGACTTCTGTGACTCCAACCAGTGTATGAATGGTGGCACCTGTCTGGTGGGCCTGGACAGTGCTCCCTTCTACTGCCTCTGCCCGGAAGGCTTCACAGGTCCCAAGTGCAACGAGATTGAGACAGGTACGCTCCCTGGCTGCGCCTCCTGCCCCACACCCCACCTCCAAGTTGCAGGGGCTGCTCCTACAGTGGGCAGAGGGGCTCAGGCCCCTCTCCTGTTGGGCTGGCACTGCCCTGGGCACTCTTGGGCCGCTTGGGAAGCTTGGCGGCTCCCTTGCTTGGGCTGTTCACCTCCACTTGACCCTCCTTTGCCAGGGCCCCATCAGGCAGACGGGGTGGTGAAGAAAAGAGGCACATTTGCCCCATCTCTTTTCTGAGCACTGTCCATTTTCTGCGCTTCTCTAGGTCCCTGTTTCCAGAACCCCTGTCTCAACGATGCTGAATGCCAGGTGACTCATGACTCCCATCGAGGGGACGTCTTCACCCAGTATGTCTGCAAGTGCCCTCAGGGCTTCTCAGGCACCCACTGTGAGAGCAGTGAGTATTATCAGGATGTCTGCTCATTCTGGCGGACCCTGAGCCCCAGGCCTGGTGGCCCAGGCCATGCACTGGCCTGATTTCTGTGGGAGGCCTTCTCTATAGAGTGAGGGCCGGGCAGGGCCTCAGCGAGGCCAAAAGGTGGGGGTGGGGAGGGGAGGGGCAACAAGACCCCATGCCCCTCCCCTCCCTGTCCTCCTGCATTGCTCTGGGGGAGGGAGGGATGTGGTGACCCCAAGGTCATGGGAGAGCTGTTTCCCCAGGCACTGGGAATCTTGGGACTTTTCTGAGAGGACAAAACAAACCCGTTCCTAATCTTTAGGGCTCAGAGGTTTGTAAATCAGGCATGAGTCTGACAGTTCTGGCCCTGATCTGATGTGTGGCCTCCCCATGGGGGGAGGGGGGGAGAGGCAGGCAGATGCCTGGGCAGTGGCCAGGCTGACCACTATCAGTTGGGCTGTCAGAGGCCCAGCATGTGCAGAGGGGCTGACCCTGCTTGGCTGTCCACCCTGCTTGGCTGTCCACCCAGCCACATAATGGCCCTTGGGTCAGTGCCCAGGGACACGCTGTAGTAGCTGCCCGATGGTCTCTGCCCTGACCTTACTGGAGCCCCTCCTACCCTGTTCTCTCATCCCGCTGTGACCCTCCCCCTCTGTCTGGGCCCAGGGGTGGGTAGGATTGGAAGGCCAAGTCTCGGGGTGCCTCAAGTCCAGTGGCTCAGGCTCTCAGCATCTCCGGCTGGGCCGGGCTGCCTGGCTGGGGAACTCAAGCCCCAGGAGAGGGCAGTTAAGGGCCCTGGACCCCCTCCCCCCATGTGTTTGAGATACTGGGTATGTGTGTGGAAATGGTGGGGGGCAGACTTCCATGGCAGACAGAGCCTAGGGTGGGGCCAGGTGGAGAGACTAATTACCATGCTCGGAGCCAGGTAACCATGGGTGTACCTGTGCTGAATTACCCACCAAGGTCTCTCAGGCTCCTCAACCCAGGGTCTGCTTCAGCTGGGTCTGGCAGCACCTGGGCAGAAGGCAGGGGTAACCCCACAAAGGCTGGGGTCCCCCAGGGGGACCTTTGATATGTGGGGTGCTTTCTCGAGCCAAAAAGAACAACCCTTCAGGTTTAAGGAATGCACACTGGGCCCCCTTCTTGTGGGCCCAAGGCAGCCATTGTGGCACAGTAGGCTGCTCCCCAAGCCCCGTGGTTCAAACCCAGCCAGAGTTCCCAGGGAGAACAATGAAGCTTCCTGTGCCCATTAGGGCTTTGTCTCAGAAGCCCCCCAGAGCAGTTCTCCTGTGTCACAGAGGCCCAGTGGCTTTGGGTGTGGGTGGCAGCGGTCCTGGAGGCAGACTGGGTTCAGCCCGAGTGACTCCGACCCTGAGTGACTCTGACCCTAGGCGGCTGGCTTCACTCTCCTTCCTGCCACCCCCCTAGGCCTGAGCCCAGGCTGTGGGGGGCAGCTCAGCAGAGCGGACCTGCTTCTGGGCCTCTGCCTGGAAGGGGTCCTTGTGGGGTGAGAGAGGAGCGTATCGAGGTTGGTTTTTGATTATATGTGCACATAGAAGTGCTTCACAAATTTGGCGGAAAAGAAGGGAATGAAAAGACAGTGGGATTTTCCCATACGGTTTACAGCTCTCCCAGGAGCCCTGCTCCTGAAACTCCTCCTTCTGAGGGGAGGTGGGGCGGGACTGGGGGCGGGGCAGGGTTGGGCTGGGCTGGAGGTGGGTCTGGCAGTGGGGTGAGGTAGGGCTGGGCTGGAGGTGGGTCTGGCACTGGGGTGAGGTAGGGCTGGGCTGGACTAGGGCGGGGTGGAGCTGGAGGTGGGGCGTGGGTTCCCAGGAAAGAGGAGCTCACTGATTCTCTCTCCCCCACAGCCCACCCCTCACACAGCAATGAGGTGGCCAAAGAACTACACTCAACTGGCTAGTCTGGGCAGCCCTGGCCTCCCCCCTCGGGGTCCCTCTTCCACCCCCACCCCAGCCTGACCTCACTGATTGCCCCTTTGTGTACCCAGCGTTGTCCTGCAGTGGCCCCACTCTGGGAGAAGGCCCTACGCTGCTCTTTCTGGATATGGGTCCATAGAGAGGCCACACTGCCGTACTTTCCCTTCAGTGGGGCTGGTTGGCCACTGACCGGCCGCTTCCTCCCCCAGGCTGCGCCATGCCGCTGGGCATGGAGGCGGGCGCCATCGCAGACTCCCAGATCTCCGCCTCCTCCGTGCACCTGGGCTTCTTGGGCGTGCAACGTTGGGGCCCAGAGCTGGCCCGCTTGCACCTCACGGGCATCGTCAACGCCTGGACGGCCAGCAACTACGACAGGAGCCCTTGGATCCAGGTGTGGACAAGCGACCAGCTGGCCCTACAAGGAGTGGATGAGTGGGCCTGTGTGGATGAATGGAGATACATTCACTCACTCACTCGGAGGTCCATAACTAGAGGTCCTAGTAGCAAGCCAGCAGGTACCTGCAGGTGAAAGAAGAGTGCCATCTTTGCCTATCAGTGGGAGGCAGCCTTGGGGGCTGAATTCAGAGAGTATAGCCCCCAGTGTATAACAGGGTGTTGGCACCCCTTAAGTGCCTCCAGGAGCAATGGACCTAGAGCCTGGGAGGACCAGGTGAGAAAGCCTTGTGCGGCAGTATCCCTCACCCCCACCCCTGCCAGGTACTCACTGGGAGAGTACAGGCCCCCCCTCCCCTTGTGTTAGTGTCCGTCCATCCCCCCACCCCCCAATGTGCAGTGTGATGGATATGGGTTGAGCTGACTCTTGGACAGGAGGACTCTGGGAGATAAAGGTACCACTCTCTGCTCCACTTCATCCCCAGGTGAACCTGCTGCGGAAGATGCGGGTTACGGGCGTGGTGACTCAGGGTGCCAGTCGAGTGGGCAGTGCTGAGTACCTGAGGACCTTCAAGGTGGCCTATAGCCTTGATGGACGCAAGTTCCAGTTCATCCAAGATGCAGAGGGGCTTGGAGACAAGGTGGGCCTGCTGGAGCCCCAAGAGAAGCACTGACAGCCATCCCTGGGGCTCTAGTGCTGCCTGAGGGCGAAGCCCTGGGCCATTAGTCAGGAGATGGGCTTTCTGGTGTGTCGTGGTTCTCAGAAATGAGAAAACCCAGACTGTGCCCTCTGCTAGGTTTGTGTGAGTAATAGTGCCCACTTTATAGATTTTAAAAGTAGAGAGACTCAAAAAGGCGAAATGGCGTATTGAGGGTGGTGGCAGAACTGGGATGCATGCTGAGGCTCCAGGGTCATTGTGGACAGTTGAGCAGGTTGTACACTGCGCAAGGATGCTGCGGTCAAGTAGGCACCATGCACAGTGTGCATACCATTTATTGATGCACTTAAAGAATCTTGAGCAGAGAAGACACAGAGCACCTTATCGGTTAGAGGTAGCTCTGGGTGAAGGAGCTGGGCCCCAGGCTGACCAAGGAGGGTATTGGAAGGGGGCTGTTGGGGGCTGTAGGAAGGCTGATAGCCGAGCTCCTGCTAGCTCGACTTAGTCCCTCCCAGCCCTGCTGCTCTGCTGCAGAGGAAGGTAAGGCCCCCGCGGGGAGTGGGACTGCCCAACCCTGCTGGTCCCTCTTATGTGAGCTGCCCTTCCCGCCCAGGTGTTTGTGGGGAATGAGGACAAAAGTGGCCTGAAGAGGAACATGTTTGAACCCCCTCTGGAGACGCAGTATGTGAGGCTGGTCCCCGTCGTCTGCCGCCGGGGCTGCACTCTGCGCTTTGAGCTGCTGGGCTGTGAGCTGAATGGTGAGTGCTGGGGGCCTCTCTCAGCCAAGCTGAACTGGGGGGCAGCAGCCAGGCCCAAAGCCAGGGCTCACATGGTGTCCAGGAGTGCATGCGATGGGGCTCATCTGGCCATCAGCAGTCTGGTCTTGCTCAGGCATCTACCCTCGGCTACCTTGTGGCTCTGGGCATTGTGGTTGGTGAGGAACAAAACACATTATAGGAAGCCCCAGATTATGAGCCAGTTCTGTTATGAACTGGTGTCTGAGTTGAATTTGTACGTACATCTGAACAGTGAGATCACTTCAGTTAGTTACACACTTGTCTTAGTTCATATATATAGTGTACCTTTCTATGCATAAAAAATATTAAAGAAACACTTCCAGGTATATGAAACACCTTCAGTATGGTAATATAGTAATGATAAATATAATAATACAGTAATAATAGTGCTTTGATGCTGGTCAGAGGGTAATGCCTGTTGGCCATCACAAGTACATACCTGTATGCACCTCAAATTTCAAGTTATGATAAGCACTATAGGCGCTGGTTTGGAAGTGACTGGGTTGTAGGTGAGGCAGTGTGATCTGTAGACTGCCTCTATACCTCAGTGGGGTGCTTTGCTGGTTTCAGGGGGTTTTCACTGACTTTGGTTGGCTCTTTGAGCTGTGACCTTCATTCTATTTGGTGGCTGCTGGGCTCGCTCGACCTGCAGCCATATTCCAAGTGCCCAGAGGGCCCCTTGCCCCATCTCTGTGCTAGCTAGTCATCATTGCCCCCAGGGGACTGGACGGTGGCAGCCCCCGTGGCCGGGGTACAGCTGGGCTCTCTGGGCTTCCAAGGCTGTTATTTTTTTTTGGCCAGCTGATTGCCAGGCCTGCTTTCCCAGGTGCCTCTGAGTAGATTTGAACCACCAATCTTTGGGCTAGTAGTCACATGTTTAACCATTGGCTCGACCCAGGGATCCATTTACTCTACAGAAACTGCCAAGGCTGCTGCTGCTGAGGGGAGCCGGACAAAGAAATCCTATGGGACAGGACGAAGGAACTGCCCGAGGGCTTTCTGAGGGTTAGTCCTCAGGAAACTGGCTGACCTGTCTTTCTCCTGCTGAGTGGCCAGAACAGCTGACCTCTTGATTAGCAGCTCGGGCATTTAACCCCGTGCCTCGAGGGCGCCCTTATCATCTTTAGAAGCACTCAGTAAATATTTGGTGCCTGAGTGAGTGAATGCGCGAATGAGGAAACTCAGGAGTAGGTGAGTTATTTATCAAGGGCATGCCTCTGAGAGATATTAAAAGCTTCTACTCGTTCCCAGGGCTCTGGACACCCACGTGTCTGTCCATCCAGTGTCTTTCCCTCACCTCCAACTTGTAGCCTTCATTCAAGGGAAACCTGGGGCTTCTAGGGCCATCGGGCTGAAACGGATGCTTTCTGCTGCCCTTCCAAGGGAGATGAAAAGGTGGGAGAAGCAGAAAGAAACAGGTTTCATCTGACCCAGGAAAATGTCCTCCTTGACTATGTTGAGCAAAGGGCTAGTGGGGCCCTAGGCTTCTGCGGCTCTGTTCTGTCTGCGCTCAGCCCGGCTTTCTTTGGAGGGCTGCTATTTCCCTGCCTCTGCAGCCACCTGCTGGCCGAAAGAGGGACTGCAGGCTCCGAGGCAGCGCCGCCGGGTGTCTTAGGGAAGAGCAGCCCCATCGTGCTCTCCTGCTCCTGGGCTCCGTTCTTGTTGCTCAGCACTGAGTTTTCTACCTGTCTGGTGGTGTGTGTGAGTGTGTGTGTGTTCCCTTTGAGCCTTATTTCAGCAATGAGTGAAACACTGCCTCCTGCAGAAAGGGTTTGCCGCCAGTCTGTGGTTAATCACTGGTTGCTCACTGAAAGGCTGGTGTTGGAACCATCAGTGGTTACATGGAACAAAGACGTGGCAGTCTGTTTGAAAAGAACGAAGGCAATGGGAAATTGGTGGGGGGTGGGGGGGGCAGGCAGCTCTACTCTGTTTTATGGTCATTCTGAGTTAGTGGGTTGTAGAGGTTCCCTGGTAGCACAAAGGGCTTGCTCTCAGCTACTCAAAGTTGGTAGTTCAAGTCCACCTGCAGAAAGGCCTGGCAAACACTAGTTTATTTTACGAGTCAATGGTCATTTTGTTGAAAAGTGACCTACACGATTAGTTTCCATTCAAAGTTCAGTGCAGAATAGCCCTGGCGGTCCTGTAAACCTGACCTTGCATGGGTTTTTTCTCTGACGTTTTCTCCCACTGTATCTTGGACATCGGCTGTGGCCCTGTTCACAATGGGTAATGTGGCCAGTGGGTGCAATCTACTTCTTAGGCTATCCAGATAGGTGATGAGTCACTTTCTTTAGATATCTGTCTTTTGTACAATTCTGCTCTTCACAATATAGTTTAAGGTGTTTTATTTCCTTTCCATATACATACTAAGAGTAACAGGTTTAATAAACACCAATAAAACATCTCTCGGCCCTGAACTGGCTGGCAGACTCCATTGGTCAGAGGTTCTAGTCTCTGCATGAGCAGTGGCCTGGCTGGTCGACTGAGGGGTAGGGCATGTCAGTTTCACGAATGTTCAAGACGCTCGGAGTTTTATTGGGGATGGAGCAACGCTGACCTTTAGAAGCCTGGGTCAGTGTCTCCAAAGCCCAGATGCATTTTAGGATGAAGTAAATGGCTCAATCAGATTCTCAGCATCACCCAATCTTGGTCCAAATTATTGATGGTGGTGGGGGGCTAGTAGTCTAAAGTTTGTAGTTTGAGCCCATCAGCTGCATCCCCAAAAGTGATTGACATCCCAAACCTGTCAATCACCTCCCTGCGATTACAGCCAAGAAAGGCTCAGAAACAGTACTTACTACCTGTAATGGCCACGAGTCCACAAAGACTGGGCGGGCAGCTCTAGGCCTGGGAGCTAGCTTGAGGATGGCATCCAGTCTTGGTACAAAGTACACACAGTGTCCAGCAGTGGACTGAGGGTCCCTGAGTGGTAGGTACTACAACATCCTAGGGTAGCCTTACCATTGGGGAGGTCCCTTTTTTGGGTATAAGAAAGAGCTTCGTATACAAGAGCAGTTGAATATTGAGAAAACATCCCAACCTAGTCCAGATCAAGTCTGTAAGTCCAACATTAGCCCACATGTCTGATACCAATCTATAAAGTCCTCTTCAGACTCACGAAACACATGCAATGATGCCAATTGCAGGAAGATCACAGGCCGGTGGATGCAAAGTCTTGTGGATCCAGTGGCATTGTAAGCATCTCAGTGCTGGCAGGGGTCTCCATATGACTCCTCCAGTTCCCAGGGCACAGGGTCTATCAGCGTAGTGCCATGTGTCTTGTCAGTAGAGCGTCTCTCAGGGAGTGAGTCGAGAGAAGGCACTTCTTGCTCACACAGAGGCCTCATTGGCTATAACCCGATTGACAGACTAGACTCCACCCCTTCACTCTTAATCCTTTCAAGTCCCAAATTGACACCCGATTATGTAACTACCATAGTCCCCTTCAGTGCCCACTGGTCGTCTTGACTGTCGTATAAAAAAGTTAGGTAGCCTAGGGAGTTGCCACTTCTAGAAGCTGAGGCTTACTACCCTGTAAAGAGTTACAGTCCTGGAAACTCAGAGGGGCAGTTCTACCCTGTCCTGTAGGGTTGGTTGGTTACGAGTCGGCATCGACTCGCTGGCCATGAGTTTGTACTTTTTAGTATGGTGAGCCCCGGTGGTGTACTGGGGAGCACTGGGTGGCTGACCCAAAGGTTGGCAGTACAAGGCCCCGCCTCCAGCCCCTACAGGGAAGAAAGATGGGGTTTAGACACCCCGAGGAGCAGTTCTCGGTGCTATAGGGTCACTAGGAGTTGGTATTAATTCCATGGTGGGAGTGGGGGTGGAGGGAGGGGTTCAAGTGGCCTTTTGGTTTACTGAGTACCCAGCTCTAGGAGAGATTCCTGACCCCCACCCCCACCCCGCCTGGGAAGGTGAATGGCTGAAAGCATGGAGCACGTAGCGGCAGATCAGATGGTGGTTGCAAACTCTTCAGTGGAGGTGACAAGGGCCGGGGACTAGAGTAGAAGAGTAGCTTGGGACTTCTCTGTTGGGACGACCTTTGAGTGGCGGCTGAGTGGGGAGCCAGGCACAGGAGAAGCTTGGAAGGAGTGCTCCAGGCTGGGCAATCAAGTGCAAAGGCCCCGAGGCACGATGAAGGACTGAAGGCAGGCAGGCCAGTGGGGCTGGTACCTAGAGGGGGTGGGGGTGCTGGGTGGGGGATGGGGCTGGAGAGGCAGTTGGGACCATATTGGGCAAGGCCTTGTGGACCATTTAAAGATTTGTGTGTTTAGCCTGGGACACATGGCAGCTGTTATTTGGGGGGTACTGATAGGACTTGATTATATCAAATGACGTTATAGCATTAGCGAATCTGAGCAAAGATGTCAGGTGGAAGACTAAAGTCCCCCTGACCCAAGCCATAGTAGTTTCAAAGTATCATGGACTGCCCGAAGATTAAACCCATCTGCCTTGGAGGTAGCAGAGCCGATATGCTTCTTAAAAGAGCCGATATGGCGAGACTGTCTCACCTACATTGGGACTGGTCCCTGGAGCAGGACATCATGCTTGGTTGGGGGTGGGGGGTGGGGTAGAGGGTCAACAGAAATGGGGCAGACTCTCAGCAAGACCCCAGGCCTGCCGAGACGAGTCCTCCCCTTCACAAGAGCGCAAATCCTCAGCGGTACAAGATGACCTGGGAGAACTGCGGGGCTGCCTCCCAACTTCACGGGTGGAAACATGGGGGGCGGCTGAGGACTGGAGCCATCCCAGGGGCATGTGGGCATGATGGCGCTACGTCGGGGCTGAGTGCCTGCCCTGGCCCCAGTTCTCCCCATTGCCTGGAACTGCCTGGTGAGGCTGTAGGAAGCAGGAATGAAGCACATGATCTGGGTCCACCTGGAGCAGGTGCTGCAGGATTGACAGTGCTCCCTGCAGAGCCTTCCCAGGCTGTAGGCTGCCTGAGGCCTCCCCAGGTGTGGGGGGATGAGGTTGGTCAGCAGGAGCTGGTGGCGCCACTGGCCGATGTCGTTAGCACCCAGGAGGGTCCCGACATCCTGGCCAGCCCAGGGGACTCTCTTTCTACTATCCGGTTGACTCCGACTCACAGCAAACCAAGAAGGCAGACTGGAAGCACCCTGTGCGTCCCCAGGGCTGTCGGTCCTTACAGGAGTAGAGCACCTCCTCTTGCTCCTGCTTCAAAGTGGTTTGAAGTGGTGGCTTCGAAGTGTCGACCCGATCCAGAGCCCACTCTGCCACCATGCTCCTCAGCAGTGCCATGGCGGGGAGACAGCTCCCAGCACCTGCCCAGCCCCCAGCTCCCCCAGGGTATGCAAGTCCTGGATCCTGGATTCTGCCAAGTGTGGAGCATGCCGGCACTCTCCTGGGTGTTCCTTTCGGGGTTCATCCTGGTGGCCACTTCCAGGTGCACATGCAGCAGCGGGCCCATTCCTGAGCGACTGAGTGAAGCTTTAGGAGCAGCCTGCGGGTCGCCCACACCCCAGGGAGATGCGTTGCACGTGTGGGGCCCCCATAGACACTGAGGAGGGGCTGCTGGGTATGGACTTCGAGTGGCTGCAGGGAAGGGGTGCCATCCTTCACTGTGGGGTGTAGCCCGGGGAGGGTGAAGAAGAGGGGCGTGGCGTGGTGGCTACCATCTCCCAGCCTCAGTTTTCTCCTCTGCAACTGGGTCAGTGTGACACCGAAAACGTCCTTTGTGGAAGATTCAAAGGCTTTTTAATAGGCTTATTCCCAGCACCACCACCACCCCTCTTTTTTCCTTTTTGTGAGTTAGGTAGGAGCTTACATTTCAGATCATCAATTTTGTAGATTGAGTACCTTCGGTAAGCTTTGAATCAACAAATGTCGGGTGTGCCGGCAGTCAGAATCACTTCAGCCTTCGCGGCAATCCTGACTCGTGGTGACCGTGTAGGCCAGGGTAGAGCTGCTCCTGTGGGTTTTCGAGACCGTAAGGCTTACGGAGTGCAGCCTCACCTTTCCCCCATGGAGCGGCTGGTTCTGAACTGCTGACCCCAAGGTGAGCAGCCCAATTCGTAATCCACTACCCTAGGACCTTAGTCCCAGTTGGAAACACGGGGTCACCATGAATCAGAATCACTTGCTGGCAACTGGTTTGGTCTTGCTTATTGTTGGTGGTGTTGTTGGTTGATGGCAGGCCTTGACAGTGAGTGGAAATGAGGGGACTGTCCGTGCTGAGCCAGCGGGGGTGGAGTGGGGGTGGGGGAGGGGGGGTTGGAAGGTCTTGAGGGATCTGTGGGGGAGCCAGTCTAGACCGGGGCTGGGAGCTGAGACCATCGGCTGAGATGGTGCAGGCCATGAGAGGGCCATCTTTCTGTTGTCCCAGATGTCCTGTGCCCTCCTTGTCCTGTGCCCGCTCCGTGGGGGCCTGTGCATTCACGTCTCTCCCACTAGCAGGTTGCTCCAACTCCCTGGGCATGAAGGATGGCACCATTCTCGACCGGCAGATCTCTGCCTCCAGCTTCTTCAAGACCTGGGGCCTGAATGCCTTCAGCTGGCATCCCTCCTACGCGCGCCTGGACATGCAGGGCAAGTTCAACGCCTGGACCGCCCAGAGCAACAGTGCTTCCGAGTGGCTACAGGTGGGGCCAGGCTCTCTGGGTGGGGGACGGGCATGGGGGGGCTCAGGTCACCTGGAACCTCCAATCTTGGACTCCACCCAGCTCAGTCTTCCACTGCATAGAGGCTTTCTGAAAGCTGTTTGTTCTCTGACATTCTGTCTTGTTCCTCCCCCTCCTTTATCCTTATTCTATAAGTCCGAGGGGTGGTGGGGTGGGGGTGAGGGTGGGGGTGCAGTGCTGTATCCACCAGGGATCTGAGGAAGGAGAGTCACAAAAAGAATGAGTGTGTGTGCATGCTTGGGGAACAGCTACTTTCCTTAGCTTCCCTAAGGGTGAGAAGGCACAGCCCAGGCCAGCAGGATGGGATGGAGGAGGGAGACCTGCCCCATGGCCTCTTGGGACTCTGCTGAGCAGAGGGTGGGGGATCTGAACCAGAGTTGAGCACCAGAAGTAAGACAGTCGGCAGACAACCCTGGGTTTGGCTGGAATGGAAAACACACCCAGAGTTGTGTTCGGGCTGCCTGGGGTGTGTGTTCTGGTTGGTAGTGGGCTGGATTGGGACCCAGGTCTTAGAACTGCCTGCAGCAGGGCTGCCGGCAGGTTTCCCCTTGCTGGTCAGAGACTGAAGGGTGGGGACTTGGGGGTGGAGAGAAGTTTGTCTCTTGACCCTCAAAATCCACTTCGGAGTTGGGTTATGTGAGCAGCCCCACAGGGCCAGTGTAAGGCTTGGTTAGCTGGGGTGGGGGTGGGGGTTGGGGCAGGTAATGCTGCTCCTGGGCAGGGGTGGAACTCCGATGTCGGAGCCTCATTGGTGGTATAGTCTGCTTCTGAGCCCGGTGTGCCTGCTTCTCCCCACCGCAGTGGAGACGGTTGGAGCAAGACAAGGGTCTCTTGTAGGTCGACCTGGGGTCCCTAAAGCGTGTGACGGGCATCATCACCCAGGGAGCCCGAGACTTTGGCTACATCCAGTATGTGGCTGCCTACAAGGTAGCCTACAGTGACGATGCCCAGCAGTGGATGGAGTATAAGGAGCGCGGGGCGGTGGACAGCAGGGTGAGTAGTGTCTGCCCGTATGTCCTCCCCTTGCTTCTGCTGGGCACCCAGAGGTCTGAGCCGGGGCTGTGGGTGAGAGGGGTCTTATGCCCCTGTGCTTTGCTTCCAGATCTTCCCCGGGAACTCAGACAACAACTCACACAAGAAGAATGTGTTTGAGACGCCCTTCAAGGCCCGCTACGTCCGAGTGCTGCCCGTGGCCTGGCACAATCGCATCACCCTGCGGATGGAGCTGCTGGGCTGCGAGTTGTAGCCCCCGGCTCAGGCCGAGGGGCTGGCGAGGATAAGCGCCACCCTGCTTCAGTGGGCCGGCCCCCTGCTTCCTTCCGATTGTAGCCAGAGCAGGTGTGTGGGCGAGATGAGGTGGCAGAGGAGGTGCCAGCCGCTGGCCACCCCTTCCCTCATACTGACCCTTAACCTCCCTCAGCACCCCCCTGGGGGGTAGGCTGTCCTTATGCTACCTCCTTCTTTTGGGTCTGGGGTGGAACAGGAGGGGTTCAGGAGGGGGTGTGGCTTTTCCAGGCACTGGGGGACTCTGGACAGGCCTGTGCTGTCCACATCCCTCTACACTCAGCCATAACCCTATGACCCAGCAAAGGCCACGGGCGCCAGGCTGGAAGATAACGCCCCCACCCTGACCCAGACTGGAGGTCACCTGCCTCCAGACACTTGCCCCTTATCTCCCCGGAGACCTCCCTCCCCCTTTTGTCCCAGAAGACCTCTCTTGACCCTTGTCCTGAAGCCTAGAGAGAGACGCAGAGGTGGCGAGGCTTTCCGGAGAGCCGTGGGCGGTGACTGGGTAAGGGGGGAGGGCCCTTCGGCTGGTTCCTCACCTAGAATACACAGACAGCTTCCAGAATATATTTATGTCATCCACTGGGGCTCTTGTGGTTGCATTCCTAATTGCTTTGTGGTAGTGGGCTTGGGCTGGTGCCTCCACCCTCCATCCAAGCCTGACCCCCAGGCTTCTGCCGTGGTGGAGCTGCAGGAGGAAGGAGAAGACCATTGGTGGGCTTCCTGTCTGCCAGCCAGGAGTTGCAACAGGTGTTGGAGACAGCCCTCAGGGCCCGCTCCATCGAGTGCTGCCTGGGGCAAAGGGGTGACCTGCTTACCCCACCCCCACCCCGGGCACCTGTCTGTGGAGCCCAGCCTTGCTCTGGCACAAGCAGGCTCACCATGAGTTCAAAGTTGACGGCAACTGATTTCTCAGAAGCCCCTGAGGCCTGCCCCTGGACCCCAGCAGGCCGGGACTGGGTTGTCCAGAGTGTGGTGAAGGGCTCAGGGTGCGCCTGCCTCAGAGACAAGCCCACAGCTTGCCTTTGCTCCCTTTCCACCCGAGGAGACAGGCTGCTGGCCTCCTTCAGCAGTTTCTGCTTTCTCTGCTGCTGGAGCTGGAGAAACTATTAGAGATGCGGGGTGAGGGGAGGAGTGGTGGGAGAGGGAGGCGGTGGCAGAGGCTCTGCCAAGTGAACACAGGGAGGCCACTGGCCACTGGCATGCTCACTCCAGGGCTGGAGGACTGCCCTGCCCTCCCACTGGGGCAGTGGCCAGTAGGTGGGTCAAAACAGACCAGGGCTGGGTATGGGGGGAGTGGGTGGGGCTGGCCCATAAAGGAGGGAGGGGCAGCTCTTAGGAACAAGGATTTAGGAAGCCACTTAGTATGTGGGGTTGGTAGATAGGGTGGATTTTCTGGGCCAAACTTTCCGTGCCACGCTGCACCCTTCCTGGCAGCAGCGAGCCTGGCCGAGTGGCTGCAGGCAATGAAGGTTTGCTGGCGCCTGGCAGGGGAACCTGGAGTCTGGGGCAGCTCTTCCTGACGGAGGCTGTTGCCAGGGTTTCTCAGCCGGGCAGATCACATAAAAAGCACAGGCCTTGGCAATGAGAGGGTGGGGTCTCGGTCTGTGTCTGAGCTCACCCTGGAACCTCTCGGCACCAGTCTTGGGTGGTTTCTGGGCTCTCCGGGAGGGTTCTGTCCCCCTCTAACTAGCTTGCGCCTTGCTGGAACCCAGGAGCTCCGGGAGCCCCGGGGAGGCAGGCCTGAACTTCAGCTGGCCCAGACTGTAGGGCTGTCTCATCAGCCTTTCTGGATGGCCAGTGGCCACAGCGTGGCCGGGAGACTCGGGGTGTGAGGCTGGAACCCTAAAGCCATCTCTCAGTCCATTCCTCTTACCTTTGCAGTCTTAGCGTGTTGGTCAGGCCTGGCCTTTCAGAAAGTCCCACTGGGTCTCTTTGACTACCTCCCAACTCCTGATTTCTTTACTGGACTGCGCCTTTTATTATCACCTCCACGTCTTCACCTTTGAATTCTGACCACTGTCCTGAGTCTTTGCGGACAGTCAAGCTGCTGGTGAGCTCTCTCCTGAGGTAGCCACACCCGTCTTTGTGGTGGGCAGCGCTGGACTTCAGGCTCCCTTTAGCTCCTGATTTGAATGCAGTGGCATGATGGGGCTCAGAGCCTTGGGTTATGACATCCTCCCTGGGCCTCCCTCAGCTCCCTCCTCGACAAATGAGAACAGTGGGGTGCTCCCCGGCCTGTGGGCCACAGGAGTACACACGAGGCTGCAGGAGGCGACCCCTGGTCTAGCTGGGCCAAGTCCCTTCCCACTGGCCTTCCTCCCTTCCCCATCGGAGGGGCGGACTTTGCCTTCTGGGTTCGTGCGCTGTCCACTTCCACTCTAGTCCATCAGCTACCCCCCTCTTCCCGGTGGAGGGGCGACCCGGCCGATGTTTCCTGTCAAGCCTGGCATTTACTCTGCTGTAATTTGCACCCAGTTTGCGCGCACACATGCACAAACACATGCTTCTGTACCTGGGTGACACCAACAGTTAGGTGCTTGACGTCTAATTGAAGGGTTGGTAGTTTGAACCTACCGACCGAGAGGTACCTCTGAAGAAGGCCGGTACCCAGCTCCTGGAAGGTCACAGCCCTGGAAACCCTGTGGCGGCAGTGCCACTCAGCAACACATATCCACTCCTAGGGATGGATCCCACAGCATTGATGTACATGCGCGTGCGCACATGTGTGTTCAGAAACACACCCCATCCTTAGATTTGTCTTCTGATGACCAGTGTGGCTGCCCAGGGTGGGGTCCTCATTAGTTTGGGTGAGAAAGAAAGGGCCCCTGAGCAACCAGCCCTGCTGGGTTGATGCGCTCCTTCTTGAAGGCCAGTCGTTCTAGCTACACTTACCGAGCATGTGGCAGTCGGCCTAACTGGTGATTTTATGATGGCCAAACTCAGGGGTATGTCCCAAGCCCCTTGCTTTTTGCAGGGGGAGTGGGGAGCGGCTGGAGCTCGTAACCCCCCACCCCCCCCCCTTCAGCTGGGGACAGCCAAGTGGAGAGCCCAGAGCGCCCTGGGCTGCACCTGCGGAGCTCTAGGGAAGGCGTATTCCTGTCAGTCCCACCGTTTCTGGTAGACCAGGGCTTGCTAACGCCCACCTCCCCACCCCCACCCTACTCACTTCCTGCCCCGTAGTGGTTGGGGGGTTCCCAGCTGAGTCCGAGACTGCCCACTGCTGTAACAACTCCGGCTCAGCCCTTGGGAGCAAAAGGAGCCCGTGTTCCTTTAAGGGGCTGGCCTGGCGGGAGCATGGGGGTGGGGGTGTTTGTCAGGCGGCTTCCTTTCTGGCCCTTCAAGACCCCCCCAAATCCGTTTGTCTTCTGATCCGAGCGCTGGATCGACCTCCGGGACTGTAGGTGGCTCTCGGTGAGGTAGGCTTACTGGGCATCTCTCATTTGGTCTTTCCTCCCCATTTGGGGTCCCTAGAACCCAACCCCCTCCTCCGCGCCCTGCTGCTAGGGGAGGTCCGGCCTTAGGGACCTAGAGAGCTGGGGGAGTGAACATGACCCTGCGTGCCCAGCGAAGCTGGCTGTACTCACCGCGGGGCGCCTCTGGCGCAGGGGTGTGCGGAGGTGCGGGCGTACTGGCACAGGATCTGCGGGTGCACTGTGGAGAAGCACGTCCTGAGCGCACGCTGGTCTCTGAGATCCCGCTCAGCGCCCACCTCCTAACCCCCGGTGGCCCCCTGGCTTCTTCCCATCCCCACCCGAGGGGTGCTGCACCCTCCAGCTTTGCGGGGGCTCTGGCCCCGGGCATTTTCCGCAGCGCCCTGGAGTTAGGGCAGCGAGCGCTCTGGGAGGGCCCATTGCCCTCTCCCGGCCTTGCTGGGGCCAGCTCTGGCCGCCCTAAGGCCAACGCGAAAGGATGCCAGTGGGTTCCAGGCCTTGGCTCACCGAGGTGCCCGCCCTGGTCACAGGGAGACGCAGAGGCTCCGAGGATGAAGCCCAGGGTGGGAGATGGAGTCGCTCAGGGGGGGATTTGGAGTTCATGAACGGCCCGGCAGAAAGCAGTGCGGGGCACTTGGACCCGACCTTGCTACCAACTCGCTGGGTGGCCCTGGGCAGCCACTGACCCATACGCTGACCCTCAGCAGAGCCTCTGCTGAAGCCTGGGGGTCGCCCGGGCCACTCCCAGACCCTGCACAAGTAGCGGGCTGGGAATGATGGGAAACACTGAAGGCTTCCACATGCTCCCCTTGGGGGCCGCAGGTTTCAAAGGCTCGCCAACCCCTGGTCTCAACTAGGGCCACCGGTGTCAAATTCCTCTAGGAGCCTGGCGACGGGATCTGGAGGGAGACGCTTCCCTCTGCTAGTGCGAGGGATTTGCACCCTTGGCGTTGCCGGGACAACGCCAGCCTGGGGGCCAGGCGGCTGCTGGAGGCACCCACCTCCCCTTGAAGTCAGCTCTTGGCTTACTGTTCTGGTGTGTAGAGGGGACCTAGGGCAAGTGGTGGCTGGATCCAAAGGGAGGAGTTGCTGTACAGGTGAGCGTCTCCAGACCCGGTCCAGGGTCCCCCACTTTCTCAGCAGTGGGACCATGGTGAAGGGTATATGACCTTCCCCATAAGAATGTGTCACATCTTAGAGGGGAGGGAATTGGGAATGAGAGGGGTGCACTGGGGGTGGGGGTGACATTAGAACACTCTGGTTTACCAAATGCTGTTGGACCCAAAACAGTGATAATCAGGAGCCTGTAATTTTCTTTAATCACCACCTATGGCGGCATGGTTACCATAAGGTCAGCAGTTCAAAACCACCAGCCACTGGAAAGGCATTCTTCAATGTCAAGAGTCTTGGAAACTCACGGGGACAGTTTTACTCTGTCCTCTGGGGACACTCCGGGTCGACATCGACTTGATGACAGGGAGGTTTGAATGTGTCTATTTTTAATTTACTAAAGAGGTACCCTGGTGGCATAGCGGGTTAAGTGTTGGGCCACTAACTGCAAGGTGAGCAGTTCAAGACCACTAGCAGCTGCTCAAGAGAAAGATGAGGCTTTCTACGCCTGTACAGTTTCAGAAATCCACAGGGAGAGTTCTACCCTGACCTACAGGGTGATTATGGTCAGAATTGACTCGATGGCAGGGAGTTTTTGTTTCTAATCATAGAGGGGCCCCTGGGTGGAGCAAACAGTTAAACTAACAGAAGCTTGACTCTTTGAATCCAACCAGGGGTGCCTCAGAAGAAAGGCTTCTGAAAAATCAGCCCCTGAGAACAGTTCTGTTCTGAGACACCTGGGATCACCATGAGGCCGAGTCCACTCGAAAGTGTTCATCTACTGTCACAATTAGCTAGTGCGGCTAGAGCAGAATCGTTGCAAGTGCAGCATGAGGTAATTAATAGATGATAATCAGCCCGGGGGCGGGGTGGGGGTGGGGTGAGGGGTGGTGGTGGTGGTGGTGTTTCTCTCGCTATTGGCACACAGCTTAGGAGGAGTGTCCTATCTACCTGCAACATCTGTGGGCCCAGAGTTCTTGGAGGTCATGCGTATGACATCAACTTTCCCTTGAGTCTAGGATTTTCTCAGCTCAGGGACCCCAGCTCTTCTTTCTTAGTGGTATAGTAGGTCCTTCTCTGTCTGATCACTTGTCCAATCTCATTTCTATCTCAAAAGAGGTCGATTCTAGATAGAAACTAATCTGTAGATTGTATCCTGCTTTTTTAACAAAACCACCTTTAATTCGGACTCATTTGCAACATAGAGATTAGAATTTATGACACACAGGAAAATCACATCAGATCACGACAATGGAGAGTACACAAGACCCAGAATGATGGCTTATCCAAGTTGACAGGTGTTTGTTTTGTTTTGTTTTGTTTGGAGGTAGGGGGGGAGTAGGTGGTATACCCACCTATAAGCCCTTGACCTCAATTTCTCTGCACGTGAAGAGAAGACAATGGTGCATGTGTCACTCCTGCTACAGTGACTCAGCCCTGAGCTTTTCACTGGTTGGTCTGTGGTGGTCCGGAGGGGAGGCGGGGACCTCAAGCCCCACGGTGGCTAGGCTGGGGAAGTGGAGGCTGCACTGAGCACCCCTTAGTGGGAGTGGCTCTGGATGGGACAATGATAACACAACAACTGACCCGGATTTGCCATCCCTGACCTAGACTCAGGACTCTGCTCTGTGCGGTGGGCTGAGCATTCCGGGGTGTTCTTGCCTTTGATCCCTGAGCTTCCTCCTGAATTTTTTTTCTGGACCTTTGAGTTCAAAGAGGTCAAATGACTTGCCAGGGTCACTTCGCTAGCAGAGCCTGGATCCCAACAGCGAGCTTTCCTGGAAACCTCCTTTCTGGTTTCACCCTCTTACAGAGGGCTGGAAAGCACTTCTGTGTTGGCCTCTCTGCCCCCTGTCAAGGCTGCCTGATGGCAGGGCTAGTGAAAGGTTACCCCCCAGCAGGGAGGGGAGCTCCCCGGACTCCATCCCTCTCTCTGATGTGGCTAGGGGTCTTCTTAGCTAGGAAATAAAGGCGCCATGCTTTGGCTTGGCAGTCAGAAGAAACCAGAATGATATTATTACCATGGGAATCAGATTCACGTGGCTGCTTTGTGGGAGACAGGTCGGTGTCGTCACTTCTCAAATGAAGTCCAAGGTGCTAGATCTTCGGGCCTCTGGTCCCCTATTTGAGCCTGACGCCTGCCTCTCTCCCTGAGGCCCAGGCTCTTTCTGTCAAAGGCCTCCTCACCTGCTGTCCCCTCTCCCTCCAATATTCTTCCCCAGGATGGCCAAGGCTCATAACCTTGATGATGTGGTGTGACCTTGATC